AATTAAATTTGGTTTCTTCTTCAAGACCATACTTTCATCCAGAGTGTTCGTAAAACCTTATGAAACTTGCTGTCATATAAAATGTGCGATAAAACTGGGCATTAAAAAAACTTGCTTTCACACATTTCACTATTTTCCTGGAAATTGCTGCGTCATAAGAGAGAGGAATTTTCCTCAATCGTTCCAAAGACACCCCAAGGCCTCGTTAACCCGACCCTCATGTGTGCCTGCTTTATGTATGTATTCGTCCGGTTTTATCCATATGTTGTGTTGTCCGTTGACATTGGCACGCCGTTTGATTGCCCCTAATCATCCTGACCATGACAGTAGTAAAACTGCATATGGTAATTTGATGAAACGATATTTCTTACTTTGCTTTCTACTTTGCCAATAATAACAACGACAACAACTAAGTACAAATAAATCACAAACAAAAACAAAAGGATGAGTCGACTGTCGAGAGCCCAGAGTGATAGCAATGTGTAATTGCTGTTTCAGATAAACAGTACAGATAAACCTCTGTAAAGGGTAAATGGAATGACGCAATTGCCAATTTACTTGGAAAAACTCGGGCCATTGACTGTTGCAAATGAAGTTAAATAAGTTTTAAAAGCACGTCTTAGTTTTGTTGAACATAAAAACAAAAGGAACATAGAAGTATCTTATGGCACAAATACACAAATAATACAAAACATAACTTTTTTTTTAAAAGGCCACAACTTAAAAATGTAACGCAGAGATAAATAAAGGTAAAGGGGAAAAATTTTCATTGTTAGACAAGTTTGAATGACTGACACTGTTACAGACCGTGGCAATGACTGAAACGGTCTTCAAAGAAATTTTAAATCGCTGTGTCAAAAATCGTGTCAAAAAAATCGATCCAGAGTATTTGTGATCTAAATTAAAAACAATGTTAACTTTTAATTTTTACTTCGATATTAAGAGCCTAGCTTAATCTGAAGTATGGTGAGCAGCATCAAAGAAATTAAAAGGAATAAATAAAGAAAAATTGACAAAAAAGAAGAAAAAAAAAGATCGAAAGCTTGGCAGTAACAACTGAATTTGCTTTTTTCTTGAAGACCATACCTTGATCCAGACTATTTGTGATCTAAATTAAAAACAACGTTAACTTTTAATTTTTATTAAGAACCTAGCTTAATCCGAAGTGCGATGAGCAGCATCAAATAAATTTAAAAAATAAATAAATAAAAATTAAAAAACAAAACAACAACTTAAAACAGATCGAAAGCTTGGTAGTAACAACTGAATTTGCTTATTTGAAGACCATACCTTGATCCAGAGTATTTGTGATCTAAATTAAAAACAATGTTAACTTTTAATTTTTACGTCGTTATTAAGAGCCTAGCTTCATCTGAAGTATGGTGAGCAGCATCAAATAAAAATAAATAATAAATAAAAAAAAAATAAAAGACTACAAGTTTTCCAAAATACAATTTTAAGACCACAATGACCCATAGTTCAGTAGAGATTCGTCAACTGTACAGACACTATCATGCCTACAATACAAGAGTATATTAAAAGAAAATTTCTTCAATTCCAAACGAAGCTTCAAAGTGTACCGGGAGCAGTAAAATCATAATCGGTCATATGAACATAGTTAACAAGACGTTCTGAATTTATGTAAATATTACCGTTTATTATGTTATAAAATTGGTATTATGTTTTCGAAGCGCATAACTACCAATAAAGAAAGCAATACTTTAGAATGCAATACCATAAACGCTAGATTTTAATCATAGGATTCTCAATTTGACTTTTAAATTAAAGAGATCGACTTATAAAAGCCTTTACGTGAAGACTACCTTGTATGGCTCCCGGCCCTCCAGTCATGTGTGGCGACCTCTTTTCACAAATGCACAATGTTCACCACGTTGACCGTCCATCCCAGGTGGTAACATCGATTTTAAACGGCCACCTCGAATTGGGAAAACTTTCTCAGTTCAAAAACCAAAATCAGTTACGATCGACTATGAAGACGAGTGGAATTCATCACGATAAATATTCATACCTGGGACCGTTGCCAAAAATGGGAAGACAATGTACAAAGTGTGAAATTTGAATCGAAGGTCGACGAACCCTCGCCGTTGAAAGCTGATAGACAGGTCCGTTATGTCTCGCTTGGCGATTTAATTTTACCCAAGAGGGTATTAATACGCAGCAGCCTAAGCCGACCAGTGATGATTAAATTTCCTTTAACTACCGTCAATAAAGCATCAGCTCTTTTTCCCTTGCTCTTAAGAAGTAATATCCTTCTTCCTCTTCTTAAAAATCGAGGGTGTGAAACTTTTAAAAATATTATAAAACATTTTCCTCGATCCTAAGAATAAGTGGTTAATTAATTTCACCAATTTAAAAAATAACTACAGTTCGTAATGATTAAGGAAAATGAGAAAACAAATTCCTTCTTGTTTATGGATCTATGTTGTTTTAAGTAATCCGACCTAAACCTTTGTTCATTTCAACCCATCAACCATTACGATAAAAAAACAATAACAGATAAAACTGTTTAAAGGATTAAATACCACTCGAAGGGGCACTAACAGTAATTAACATAATATCATAAGTACACTAATTTGTAATTTGTACTTCGAGTCCTCCCTTCCCAACTCCTGGAAAGTCAATTTAATCACTAATAATTTTCTAAACAAAACATATCATACATAAAGGTACGTTTGTTTACTGGAACAGTACATCTACGGTGGAAAATGCTTATTTGAAAAGTTCAAGTACAGAAGAGTATAAACCTAAAATAATATTTTATACAATCCCTATCATGTGTAAAGGTCTTTTCTTTAATATGCATATCAAAGACCTTTATGCACTATTGAAATTCTGGCGCTGCTCTTTGCATTACGATTAAGCCTTGGCACATTATAACGCGTTATTTGATATCCTCGGGTCACCTAATCTCTTCTAATAATCATCTAGATCAATCGTTAAATGGTCTTCACACCGTCTCGTATCGTACGTAATATATAGTTCACTATAAAAATTCTGACGTAATTACTAGCATGATTGGTGGTTTACAAGTTTATCTTCTGGTCCGCTAAGATCCGCTTGTTTATCCCATTAAAATCTGACTATCTCAAATTAATCTGTACCGTCGTAAAGACTATAAACCAAAGTTTATCATTTTTACTTTTTATTTTTTTTGTTTTTTGTTTTCAAGTGTTAGTTTCAAAAACATATGATACAAAAAATTGACCTACTGTTCTCATCCAATATTGTTGGATAAACATATAATGTGGATAAACATATAATGCTAGTAGTGATGACCTATGATGATTGAAAATCTACAGTGGAGAACATGATTTTTCATCAAGAGTAACAAAAGTTTGAAAATAAGAATTTACGTCGATTGACGTCCTATGCTTCATCATGAGGTATGTGCATCGAGAGGACAACCTCCAATGTAGTTCATTAACAGTGACGACTGTTGGTAAATGCATCAGGTAACGATGGCCTCGTTACATCGAGTAGCGAACAGTGTTGGTCTGGCCTGGTAACCTTCGATTATATGGACTGACGAACTATGTTAGATACATCGGTTACAACCTACTATGATATAAATCGAGTGAAGACCTATGTTACATACATCGAGTAATGATCAACGTTCGACATATATTAAGCGTGGAAAATTTGATTACATAGACAGACGATCTATTTTAGATTCACTGAGTAAACAGTATGACCTATAGATGTAGAACTTATGACGACAAATGGTGATATACATGAAGTGATGTCGTTAGATACACCCAGAAACGGATCAATATTGGATTCATACTAATTGAATGTTATACAACCTAAGTTAGATACATCGAGTAACAACCAATGTTGGAGAAGAATTACGTGTGACGACATATGATGAAATACATCGAGTAGTAAGTAGCCAATGGTCTACCTTACATACATTGAGTAACGTACCAATGATGAATACATTAAATGTGTCAATTTGAAGTTATACTAATATACGTGGAGTGACAACCTACATTAGAGACATTCAGCATTGGTTGAATATTAATATCACGACATATTATTCTGATAAACATCAAGTGATGGTCTAGGTAGATATATTAAGTAATTATTCAGAAATCGTGAGATGCGGTCTGGTGTGATGTAGGTTTCAGAAAAACATTTTCTTTATCGTGCCAACGTTTCGATCTTTATTGAGATCATCTTCAGGGCCTGGGATTTACAAACATATCAACTGTGACGATCAACATTCATAATTTTTTTTAGGTGGATAATTTTAGCCTCTAAACTAATATAATTTATAACCATTATATTTAGTGGTCTGATTGACCAAATTACTTCTTTCAATTAATTAGTCTTTTTATGTAAGGTTTTGGTTGAAATAAAAAAGTGTCACGAGCGGGACTCGAATCCTGGAACTTTTTAATTTTAACCAAAACTTTATATAAAAAGATTAATTAAAAAATTAATTGAAAGAAATAATTTATAACGATAAGTGAAGATCAATTAATTTCTTTAATCCGACCTAATCTCGTTTTATCACTTGTCAAACACGCTGGCAACTAATTTTTATTTAATAACCACGTTTAATCAAATTTTAGGCCCGTCTAAAAATGTAGAGTAGATGGTAGAAATATTGGTTGATATGTTTTGCTCATGTATGAACGTTACGTACGATCTTTAGTTTGAGTATTCGAGGTAAAAATGGGTCATATCTTTTAAAATATGTGATGAAATAGTCCATTAGATTGATTTTTGCATCCAAAATACCGAAGGGAAGCCTTGTATTTAAAATATTTTTCATTGCTAAGTTGATGTACTTCGTGAATTTAGCCTTACCAGTCATCTAATTCTAAAAACTAATGGATGAAAATTTTGCATTAAAAATGTTAGATTTCAATGAATATAGGCATGACGTTTTTTGTTGTGGAACATACCAGCCTCCATCACAGATTTGACAGTTATGGAACACATGACACTGACAACATGAACTGGAAATGACTCACCTCCTGCAAGAAGAGACTTTAGGATGAACTCGTAGTTCTTGTTCTGGTTCTGCAACATTTCGATGCCAAAAACGCTAGACAGAAGTTGCAAAAAATTTTTTTTTGAGTCAGCCGATTTGTGGTCAGTCCGAAGAAGGGAAACGTCTGAGTTTTTCTAATGCCTCGGCCCTCATAACTGTCAATCCGCCGTGTCTGAAGAAAGCGAGGGGGCGAGGACTTTCACGCCGATTTCTCAAGACTGTTTGGAGGCGAATTCAGTTCGTCGACATCTCTCCGAGGGATGATGGGCTTAGACTGACAGGATTTGAGAATTTCTCCGGCTAGCCTCACCGTATCCCCCCCAACCAGAAGACGTCACGATCCGCTCTTTTCGCCACTAAACGCCAACAGGAGAAATTTCTATTCCTAAAAGTTCCCCTTGGGTCGATTTTGACAACTAAATTCTATTTAAACAAAATAAACAATAATTATATTAATTTTAAAACTTTAATTAAAGAAGAGACAACACACGCTATAACCTCTCAGATTCTTATCAGTTTATTGATAAGTTATAACAGTTTTGCAACCCCTACACTCACATTATTGCCTATTGTGCGATAACTTCATAAACTTTATTGATTTACTTATTTCTTAAAATGCTAAACTCGACAAGGAGGTTGTTAGGGCCTTCAGTAATAAATAGGTAACCGTTTTATATCTCCATTTGTTCCTAATAGTGCGAGCTTGAAAAAAATTTGTATTATCTGCAAGATTAGAATATAAATAGATTTAATACTACTTTTACAGATTAAAAAATGTGTGATTTGTAATGACATAATAAGTTATAGAACAGCCAACTTACAATTGCCTGAATCTCACAGAAGGCTGGCCGGACAGTTTTAGAGATCAGTATCAGATCTGATTATCCATAACATTGTCAAGCCTGACGGTACACACATTTCTATCATCAAATTTGGTTGATTTATACATCTGTCTGTCAGATGTGTCGCAATTTTATATCAAGTCCGATTGTCAGATATGAGTTGAAAGGCCTTACTACTGTCACCTCTGTAACAATTTTCATGTCGTGGTTTCTTATGCACAGTAGAAATTGTTTATGAATACACTGGTTATAAGAAATGACTGATTATAACGTACAAAATCTCTGGTCGTGTGAAATGCCTAAGGAAAAAACATCGGGATCCTTTTATAACGAACTATCACTTATAGCGGACAGCTTGCAAAAGTAACCTCTGCTGCCTAATGATTCTAGAAAAGATTCTTCCCCTCTTTTTAAACTCTAAATGTCTATAAAAACTCTAAATAAAAAATAAATTAAAAAACAACGACCTTGGTCTCTTCTGTTGAGGAAAACTTTGTGATAATTTCTCTGATCGAATCTGGAAATGGGGATGTCTCGTTTCAAAATATCGGGAATTGTTCAAAATAATCAACCAATTTAATAAGTGCCATAAAGTTAAAAAAATACGGACCAAAAAAGGCAACATATATAAAATAATGTATATGTGAAAATTTGTTGACAAAAACTCCATTCACATTTGTACATACATAAGTACATATATTAATGTTTTAAAAACACTTATGTAAATAAATTATTTTAGCAGGTAGTATGTATTTTGCACTTGATCATAAACCTGAATAAATTATATAATTACTTACATAATGAAAACTGCTCTGCTATAAACGTATACCTATCAATTGGATGAAATGATCAGATATAACTGTTCACTATAAACAATATACTGCTTATAGTGAATACTGCTTATAACATACAAAATTTTATGGCCCCTGAAGTTAGTTATAAACAAGTTATACTGTATTTCAGTTTGTGATTCAGTGGTATGAGCATGAGATGAATTTGAATTGTCAGTTAGGTGTTCCTACCTTTTCTATTGTCAATTCTGATTGTCTGTAACATTTGTCATGCCACGATTGGTTATAAAATTGTAAAATTAAACTTAAATTGAAACTTACATAAAGACATGGAAAACGCACTACATTCCACGTTGGAACAATAAGTGAGTGCACTGCACAAAAGTGGTTATAAAGTTTAAAAAGTACTCCGCTAAACACAAAGCATCACCTTTTGTTGGTGAATATTCGGTTTTCATGTCAATGGACAGGGTCATTTGGTGACAGCTAATGGTGTGACAGGATCCATTTTTGTTGTGACAATTCAGTCAACAGCTTTTACTCAAGTCTCGGCTGTCCTTAGTACAGTTGACCTTATTTGACTCATCTCTACCCTCGACTCAGCCTTGTGTTGCTCCTTTACTGTTCTACCTTTTTACCCGAGTCTTCACGCATGTCTTTCCTGATTTGCTTTTCTAATCCTCTCTTTTATATTGATTTCCCAAAGAAGGGTGGGGAAAAGGAAATTCTTAAGGCCTGAAAGTCAACACCCTTCTGACTAAGATCAATAATTCGTGCAACAACCCGAATTTTTTGGAGATTCCATTATTCAATGGCCCTCAAGTGTAGGGGCACAAAAGCTCATCTGATTGACGCAATTCCAAAGTTTATATGACCTTAACTTGAACCCTGTCAGCGATGTATGAAAACTTCAATAAATAACTCGCCTTTTTCATTTTTATTTATTGGGGCTATTCACTTGTTGCGTTTCCACACCATCCAGGTTTTTGAAAATTTTCCTTTATTAACCACTGGTTTGGCAAGCTGTCATATTAACAGCCTTACATAAAAACAAGTACAAAAATTCCTTAAACTATCGTCTTTTATTAACAATTATTTCTCTATTATTAACCCCAATCTATATTAAGGACCAGCTTAAAAATGTTCCAACTGGCAGTCAGATTGCTTACCACATATACGCACTATCAAAATTGATTTTTTAAAATTATTACAGGAGACTGTCAGAACGCTGGCTATACATTTCCTACTATTAGTTATGAAAATGCAGTGTTTCAAATTTTACATATTAGATTCAAAATCATTTCAGACGATTGGATTGAATGGCTGAACGTGTGGCTGTTCCCTTGTGTAATGAATTTGGGAACGATTGGTGATGTTTTTCACTTGTAAATAAATAATAAATATGTGTGAAAGAAAGCATTATTATTTGACACAGTTTCATTTGAAATCTATTTTATTTTACATAATTACCTTGTTATCATCATGAAACAATAATAAATGATTACCATATTTCAGAACCTGGTCATTATGCAAGTCTTTACATTCTGGCCCTGCAAACCCGAGACAATCCAAACTTCTTGTGAACAAAGTCAGGCCAAAAATAGACTCCTTTACAATTAGAAATATGTTCATACAGACACAGGAGACCCCAAATCCAAACAGTCTCAAATTTCTTCCTGGCATTAAGGTATTAATATCAGAAAATATTGGTTTCTTCAAAAAGGGGATTCTAATTGATATGAAACATATTAGGTTTTGGGTGAAAAACAGACGATGGATTTTCCCAACAGCAGAGATGCCTATTGTTCTCCTTTGGCGAAACTTATATTCAGGATCAATGGAGTTAAATCTGTCTTTTTCGGCCCAGAATTCATCACCGTGACAAAAGTATGAAATTCTTCAGACAAAAAATAAAGTACAATAATTTTTTTCACAAATTTTGTTCTGAAGGTTGATGACGATGTTGAGTGGAGGGTACTGAAGCCGGAGATTTTTGCAACGATTATGGATTTTTTTGCAAGCGGCCTGCCTATTCTCCATGATGTAAAGCCACCTGATGCAAATACTCGTATGTCCTATATCATTTCATTACGGGAGAGTATGTAATTTTGTTTTCCCTCCTTAGAAATAAATGATGATGATGATGAAACAGTTCAAATGATCAAGGAACTATTAGATACTAGAATTCGACCCACAGTTCAGGAAGATGGAGGAGATATTGTCTATATGGTGACTTTGAATATACTAAACTAATTAAAGTAAAAAAAGAACATAAAATTTTAATTAGCAATTCTTAACTGAATTTTTGAATCATATTTATAAATTAAAATTAAAAATAAATAAGTTGATCTGGTAATTCTTTTTTCTTCTTATTTTTGGTTAAAATTTTGTTTTGTTTTATTGCACTTTTCTTTATTGTTGTAAATACTTGTCTGAACCTATTATAAGACACATATTAATTCTCAAAATATAATTTTCACTTTTCCTCAGGGTTTTGATGATGGCGTGGTAAAATTGAAACTCCAAGGCTCCTGCACAAACTGTCCTAGCTCAGTTGTGACTCTTAAGAGTGGAATTCAAAATATGCTGCAGTTCTACATCCCTGAGGTATGCCCATTGCTGTAAATCATAAAATTGATCAATCCTCATTCAATGGCTTGTTTAAAAAAAATTGGCATTTTAGGTTGTAGCTGTTGAACAGGTCGAAGACGAAATGACAATTATGACAAAATACGAGTTCGAGAAAATGGAAAGGAAGATCCGTGAAAGTGGAGAAAAGGAAGGCAAAGCAAAGGAAGAGAAAAAATAATCATAATTTGTAAATACTTACTTGTAAATATCGAATGTTATTAGTGTTTTGAATTTAAATGTAAATACAAGAGTATATGACTTTTCATAATTATTCTTTTATAAGTCCTATTTCATAAGCAGTAATTATGCTATAAATGGAAGTTGTTCATAATCTCTAAAAAAAAATTAATATTTCTTTCATTGCTGTAACACAGTTTTATCACTTATGTTATTTATTATTTATTTTTATATAAGGTATTTTTTTAGAATAGGAATTTTTTAGATTAATTTCTTTTACAAAATTTTCTTGGTTTTTGTTAAAAAAATAATTCCATGTGGTTTTAAAAGAGTGAATGATTACTTATTTAAACATTTATTTGGATGTCGGTAATTTATACACATCAGAATCTACATCTACATCTCTAAAATTTGCAGTAACAAATACACAGTAGCCACTCAAAGAATAACAAATGGCAAAACCCATGTTTTAATGGAAATATTCAATTGTGGATTGTGAAATAACTTTTCTATCAAAGTTTTCAGGGATTTCACCATGTTGCCTTATTTTATAGGTATTTCAAGGACATACTCATTTTTACATGTTTTAGAACTTAGTGATATCTCCTTTTCAAGGTTGAAAAATGCGATATCGAACCCAAGGAGAGCAGCAACCCAAGAACATCATTTATGTCATATTTCCAATAAAAACATTTATTTATCGGTAACAAAAATCAGATTCATTTCTCTTTCTTCTTTCCCTAATGTCATTGCACGTGATTTCATTTTCTCTCTAAGCTGTTCCATTACATTGCACTTTTCAGAGTTCCCCATATACAAAAAATATAATGGGGTGAAATCAGGGCTTCTAGCTGTCCAAGCCATGAAAAGAATATATCTAATTTGTGTTACCAATTGAATAAAGACTTTAATTAAAAATATGTACGATATTTCACTAAGAAAAGTTTAAAAAAAAAGTAAAAGTATGTATCTCCTTGGAATATTTATAAAATAAGGCAACTTTGGTGAAATCTTGATGGAAATTGTTCAACATGGGTTTTGCCATTGGTTATTCTTTGAGTGGCTACTATGTATTCGGAATCGTGAATTTTCAACAGAAATATTATCTTGTGGAAAATTTAATGTAGTTTGTGAAATAAAAGTAAGATTGTATTTGTATGCCGCTAAACTTGAGAATTGAATGATAATTATTTTATGTGAAAAAATCTGATTTTAGACTAAATTCATAAAAATGTTAATAGTATTTCAGGAAAGAGTCAAGATAGAAACGTACTTCTGGTGGTACTGAACTGCGTTTTATTTAGTGAATCCACCATGGCAACATTGACATTTAACCCTGTATATAGTTTCTTAGCAGGGTGGGGCAATATTTAAATTATATCTCTATAACCTTGTTTTGTATGTCGGATGCATTCCAGACTTTTACCATCATAGATGTATTTAGATATGACCACGCTGCGGTTCATCGGTTCATCACAGAACTTGACAAGAAAGTCTCATGATAATAATTTGTGGTTCGAAATTCACTCGGTCAGTCCATTGTAGTGGCCATTAATTTTTCTCGTAATAATTATAAATTTGTGGGCAACAACAGGCTCTTTGTTATTTGTATAAATAATTTGACTGTGGTGTCCATCATAAAACTAAACATTTCTTTTTGCTGAATTTCAAGATTTACTTATTCCCAAGACAACAATTTTAACCCATTTTTTAATTATGCATGCTATTACATGAAACAGAAAATAAATATTTAAATTTTTTATCATTTTAATATTGTCTTTAAGTGCAAAACCACCAATAGGAAAGTTCTTATGAAATAGTTTTACCTGGTTTTTATGTTTCTAGCGTGTCTTCAAAGTGGTAGCATTTTTTTTCTAATGTTTCTTTCAACTAGTAAAATAAATAAATATATTAACGATTTTACAAGTAAAAGTGTTCTTTGAGTTCATTTAGGTCATGGCATGTGAGGTTAAAAACTGTAATTGCTTTGAATGAAGCAGTTGCCTTACTTAATATTTCGGGTCAATTGGTTTCCCAAAGTGACTTCATTACTGCCCTACAAATCTTTTTCAGAATTTTAGTTATAGTTATAGTTAGTTATAGAACATAGTTATATATAAATTATCCAGAATACATATGATGATGAATTAAATACTGAAACAAGTAAATTAGTTAAATAATTGTATTATCGTTAATTTTACCAAAAATTTTATAGTGATTGTTGTAGTAAACATTTACACAATACTCAACAGATATAACTAGTATATTGGTTAATTTTTGACCCATAAAATATTCTTCAGATAGGTCGGGGATGGTCAACATTCTACACTCACACATTCACCACCTTGCTAAACTCATCACAATATTTCATAAAATAGTTATCTGATATGTGTTAACAGAGACATGAGTGAACTGTAAATAGCTTGCTGGTAAAAGAGGCCAAAAAATAAAATTGAAGTTTCAGTTTGGTAATTCCTTTGACAAGGCATAAATTGTCCCAGAATCTATTAATTATGTTGACAATTTGATGCAAAATGATATCTAATTAGTTATTGATTTATTTTTATCAAGTGTAAATGAATAAATGTAAATTTTTATTCATTGCCATTCCAGACAAGAAACAATTTTAAAGATTTATTTTATATCAATTTATTGGTCAACATAATTAATAGAGTACAATGAAATCAACCAAATTAAAATAGTATTGTGGTAACTTTATTGTTGTTTTTAATTACTGTTATAAAACATTTACCTCCAGCTACATATTATGTTGTGACTTGTAGGTCAAATATTCAAATTCAAATTCTCAAGTTAATGAAATTTTTACCTAGTTTATCCATGCAAATTAAAATTTAAAACTATTATTGTATTAAATACTGAAACACGTAAATTAGTGTAAATAATTGTATCGCTTTTAAAATTACCAAAATTTGTATAGTGATTGTTGTATTGTGATTCAACACTCAACAGACATAACTAGTAATATTGGTTAATTTTTGACCCATAAAATATTAGTAACTTTATTGTTCTATTTCTAGAAGTTAATTGAAAAATATAAAATGTGCTATAATTGCTATTATTTATCTGTAGTGTTAATAAAAAAGAGGTATGATGGAGAGATGGATTTATTAAAAATTTGGAAGATGTATAATAATATTTAACATTAATTGAAATTTTACAAATTAATCTGGGGGTAGGTAGCTCTGAGGAGTAGTTCAATAAAACTTTGGCCTAAATGAAGTTACTTGCATAAGAAAGAGTGGCCAGTTTTCCTGCCAGAGTTCACCTCTTTCTATGGTGGGAAGAAGTTTCACTAATGTTCTGGCCTTTCTCAAGAGCTTGATAAATTTAAAAAACTATAATAGTAGATTAGTTTATAATAAACATAATATGTATTTATAATACAGCTTTCATTCTCTTCCTGAGTCCTTTTCTCCCTTTAGAGCCCTTCCCCCTGATATATCACATTGGAGGATGAATAGCCTGGCGATTTGGTGGCTTTTTTTTTTAAATGGTTCAGAATGGTTTTAAGGAAATAGACTTTGCAAAAGCTTGTGTTATTTACCCATGTCTCTTACTTAGATAAAAGGATTGAATTAGAATTTCTCATATTAAATTTGTAAAAATAAATCACATTTTATTTGAAATAACTATATACCTAACCTAACTTTTCTTCAGCCTGATGTTTAACTATAAAAACTCAGTGATGAACCAGTAATTTGGTTATTACTCATCATTTTAATCAGCCTATCCTCGCTGGGTTTGGTCTGCATTTCTCCTCTTCAGTTATAGTAGGCAGTACTGGCAATAGATGCTCTCCAACATATAAGTACATAATTGTGAAATTGTAGTAGTTTAAAGTGTTATTGTATTGACTTCTTTTTTACTCATGAATAATTTACAGCTCTGTATGGTCTGGATGAAAAACACAAATTCAATTGTTACTGCCAAGCTTTTGACCTATGTTAAGGTCATCATCAGGCCAAAATAATCTTACCTATGTCTACAACTTGGTATAATTAACTCTGAAGTTGGTATTAAAAGAAATTTGAATCAATCCTGATCAATCTAGATTATTCGTGAAATTGTCGTAGTATTAGTTAAAGTTGTATTAGTAGACATAGTAGTAGATGTAGTTATAATTGTAAAAAAAGTGATACAACAAATAATTAGTGAGGTTTAGTCAGTGCATAGTAAGAGTTGTAGTAGTAATAAATTCCAGTGTCATGATGAAAGAAATAGTAGACGTCGTACACGCAGTAGAGTTAGTTGTAGTTGCACTAAAATATTAGTCATTTGCAGTGGTAGTTTTAGTTGCAGTTGTATACAGTAAGTACTGTATTAATACTAATAGTATAGCTTAATGAAAGACAAATGTTTAGTTTTTAGTGGTAGTAAACACTGAACGAACGGTTCTTGGGTAAATCATAGAAAATACAATAGTAGCGGTTGTAAAAAAGTATACTTCATACTAGTGGTTCTTGTAGTAGGTATTAGTCACATTTGTAGTAGAAGATATTATACTAGTTTTAGTTGGATTTGTAGTAGTATACATAGTAATTGATGTAGTAGTGTTTGGTGAAGTGGTAAACACATTTTTAGTCGAAATTGTAGTTGCAATAATAGACAGTAAGTATTGTATTAATGTAATGATAACTGAATGGCCCATTTCTTGTTTGTACTGAAGGAGTTAGTTGGCTGGGGTATTCTGGGACAGTTAAAAAACGTTTATTGAACAAAAATAAACTAAACTATCTAAATATTGGATTGCTCTTAAAATAATAATACAGTATGGTTTTAACAGTAATTAGACATTTGGGTTAATTACTTAATAATTGAAATAAAAAAACAAAAATTGTTTAAACTAAAAATTAACTTCATCGATTAGAAAAGTTCTAGGTTTTAAGCAGGCTAACACAAGTACAATCTTTACATCCATTTTTTCGAATTATGTATGCAAACTCTTATGTACTTTCTACAATAAGGGTGAAAAAATAATATTATTATTATTTGAGAAAATAAGCTTTCTGGGTTCTTTTATCTGCAAAAAATGAACTGCCTTCCCTCTTCATATGGTTGCAGAATGAG